AACGAAGCGTTGATCTCTATTCCATCCGAAAGGTGATCTAAATACCTATTGCCACATCCGACTCATTCGCAGGTCGATAGGAGACCCTTGTCCACACTTCCGGACTCAGCAGCAGGCCCAACAACACCAGCAACTTTTGCATTTTTCAAGTGTTTTGCAAGAGGTCCTGGCGCTGCCTCCTTATATATGGGCCGCGGCTTATGACGGCTCGCTTGATGAGCAATTATAGCCTCACTGCCTAAATATCACATGTCGGCGAGTCCGCAAGTCCGCGAGTCAGCCACCAGGCTGCTCATGGGCCAAAAGGAACATCGACTGACAGCAAGCACCGACAGCTCCGACAGTTTTCAGCTGGGGGCCAGAAGACCCAGACCCAACCCAAACCATTGGCTGACTATCGATTTTTATAATCATTGGCTGCACATAGCAACACACAGATACTAGTACACATGCACTCTCTCTCTAAAGCATTGATGCCAGTCGAACGTTGTGGATACTCTTTCCTTACCACCGATAGATCTCTAGATGCTTTTGATCTTCAAAGCCAAAATTTGGCGGAAAATCCTTAGGTTTTGACAAAAAATGAGATATTTTGAGATGTAGGGAACCCATAATCCCATAAAACTTATAAAGCTGTACGATTATATTAAAAAGGTTAGCCGTAGTCCAATGATTGAAATGGATTCCATTCGAAGTCATCCATTTTTGGTATATTTTAAGACCAAAACATAACAAATGAATTTCAAATAAGTAAAACTAGAAGTACAACTAGAGTTCCCCTCAAAAGTTAAACATTTCTGGATTGTTTAAAGCTTATAACTTTCCCAAACCTAAACTTATGATGACTTCATATCTTATGGCTATGATGCACCCCAAAACTTATTAGCTTGTGAATGATTTAAAGCCAAAGGCATAGCCATAGCTCTCTAGTCATATGACGTTCTTTTTATATTATGTACATATTTATTTCCATAGAGCATTCAAAATTCATTAAGACTGCTGCTGCCAGGTTCCTTTCTTGGTTTTAATTGTCAGAAGTTTGTCATTGCCGTTTTCGCTGACAATTTCTCTTTCCATGATCAATCGGTCTTGACGATCGACGATCCATGATTGTGGCTGTGGCTGTGGCTGTGACTGAGACTATGGCTGTTGCTGTTGCTGTTGCTGTTGTTTCTGCCTTGTGTTTGTTGTCAATCTTCTAATGCCGTTGACATTAATTCCGTGTTGTGCGCATTTTTCTTCTCGGGGACTGGCCTGTCATTTGGCTCTTGGATCGGTCTATGCTGCTGCTGCTTTCTGATGCTTTCTGCTCCCATGTCAACGCTCTACTTTGCTACTACTCTGGGGCCCAGCAGCAGCAGGCTGCGAGCCAATGATTTATCACCGATCGAACAGCATCAGCAGCGTCTTCGATCCGTGAGTTTGCGGATGGGTTTGCCAGGGCTCTTCTTCTAACTTGAGGAATGCCAAAGAATCTATAGAGCTAGCAATAGAGTACTTTTAGCCACAGATTGTATAACGCAAGTGGAACTTAAATATTAATCTTCTTACCAGACATTCTATCTTGTGGCCCAAATTGGCTTTCGAACTGGAGAAAAGAAAATCCAGGAAAATACAGGCCCACAGATGACCCGCTTACGATATGGCGAAAAGTGTTTATAATCGAGTAACAAAAAACCGCCGAGGAAGGGCAGTGCCAAAACTATGACACGAGATAGAAACCGAGTGGGACCAGTGGGACGCTCTTTCTGTGACCTCTGCCAGACACCACGCTGTAGACTCTAGATGCCAGACTCCCGGCATCTCTGGAGCTATTTATAAAACCTCTACTCTGCAGATCTGCGTAGTTCGACAACTTGTTAAACTTCAAACTGTCCGCGAAACGCGACAGCGGCAGCAGCAGCAGCAGCAGCAGCGCCAACTGAGGACCGGTGGAGGAGCTCTGGAGGTGCCTGCTGAGTGGGCAACTGTCTGGCGATTGCATCTGCGTCTCTCTGGCAACATTCAGCAGCAGCCGGCTTAGGCTGATCTTGCACCAGGATGCACGCCAACACATTTTTTGTTTCAACGCGCATACGATAGTGAAATGTCCAAGAAGGAGCCTGGCTTTAGCCCTATCCCTTGGATCCACACACACACACACACAGACAGGAGACAGGAGACAGGGAACAGAGGACAGGTTAAGTGGTTGGTGGGGGCTCTAAAGGGGGATGAGATCCCCGGCACACTTAAATGCATTTTGTTTGTTTTTGGCTCTGACAACATTCCCTCTCTCTCTTCCTGCACTCCTTGGGGCTGGGGCCAGCTGTCAATTGGCTTTGTCCGCATGTAAATCACTGCAAAACAACAGCACAAAGCACAAAAGGCAGTCTCTAGATACAGATACACCAGATCCACCAGATCCACCATACAGAGATGCAATGCCATGTAGAAGCTCTATTTTAAAATAAATCTGAAACTAAAACGAAACTTAATTATTTATTGAAAAGCAAGAAGAAACAAAATAATGTAGAAATGTTCAGAGCTCAAAACCAGAAACTTAAGATAAAGTCCCACAAGTTCTTACAGGCGTCCGAATCATCGTCACTCGAATCCTTTATGGCATCCAGCTTCTTTTTGAGCTTCATAAGATTTTTCTCATCACTGAAAATGGCCTGCCAGACTCTGTTGCCAAACCGATCGTTAATTCCCAGACTCCTGAGTATTTTTTTAACTTTCGTTGTGAAAATTTTGGCATCTTTGGTACCTTTTCGTAAAGCGGCATTGGATGTTTCGGTGAAGGATTCGCCAGAGTCTGAGTAACTGCTGTCCTCGTAGGATTTATAGCTGTTATAGGCTCTGATTTTTGCATCTAATTTTGGGAACGGCCAGTCGGCAGCCTCCTGTAGTTTCTTGTAGGGTTCGAGGAGTCGATCTATGCTGGAATTGGCTTCCTTTTTGAGGGTTTCTCTGATCTTGGTTGTCACAAGCTCATCCAGCTGCTTGAGCGGCTCCACGGGCTGCTCTCCACGGATTGGATGTGCCGAAAAGAGCAGCAGGATTGCTGGTAGAACTGCAATCAGAATCATGGCTTCTACTTATGGCCTCTACGGATCGGTTGTAACTTCTCTGGATCGTTGGTGCCTTCTCTTTGAGGCTTCCATGGATCGCTGGCATTTTAAAGCCCCTGTGGCACTCGCGTATGGAAATAAGTTATGTGTCTATCTTTGACAGGCACTTAAATATTAATAGATTTCGCCAAGCTTTAAGGTCACTTTGGTGGTTGACTGCTTTAGTGGTTGGCTTGGAGGTCACATGATTATCTCTAATGGAGTGTGAAGTATTTCGAATTTTCCCCAGTGTTTTATCTAACTTCTTTTGAGTTAGAATACAAACAAAATCTCTCAAGTTTTCTTAGTCTTTATATATACCCGTTAATTATATCTTCTATTTCCTTGCAATCTTTACTACTCGTTTTCATAGGTTTCTTTTTCTTGGGAGGCGTTTTATAAAAACTAAAATCATCATAATAACTATAATCATAATAAATATGTAGGTTTCTTATGGGATGGTCCCTTACACTTCTTATACGAACCGGGCAGTGCGTCAATCTTCTTCTTCAGCTTCTTTGCCTTTTTCTTATCGCACAATAAGGAATTCTAGACGCGACTGGAAAATTTATCGAGTAAACTCAGTCCCGAAAAGATCGCATGAAGCTTCGCCTCGAATAGTCCTGTAAATATTTAGCGTTGCTGTACATTTGACTTGGGCGTCAACTCGGCGAGCTCTGGATTCTTCTCGTAGTTGTTGTAAGCCATGATTTTTTCATCCAGCTGGAGGAATGGCATCTCGGCAGCATCCTTGAGAGTCTGGAATCTTCAAGCTCCTCCATCGTCCTATTGATCTTATTTGTCACAGCATCATCTGCATACGCCACACTGGATCGCCACTGGACGGGACTGAAAGTCCTTGAAAAACTAGTAGGATTACTGGCAGAGCAGCAACCGGATTTGATATGGCTTCCACTGCGATCTGTTGGGGGTTCTGTTTTCTGGCACTCGTGAATGGAAATTGATTGATGTGTCCGACAGGCATTTAAATATTAAATAGAGTGTTCCATTAGAGGTCACAGTTCCAGGGCACAGTTGGATGTGCGATTACTCACAGATTATCTTTAATGAAGTGTGGAATGTTTTTCACTTGTTTTTTTTCATTGAAACTGCCCATAGAAACTGCCGCCCCTTGGCCTTCAGCTGCTCGTAGGTTACCGTTTCGTTAATCCTCGAGATGGGACCACGTAAGAGATCAACGCCGACATCCATCCACGTCGCGGGGTGACCCTTCCACTTGACCGATCGAAATAATATTCACAAACAATCCAGAGTTTTCTTTTAGCTTACGATTTTTCAAAACATAGGCCGACTCTTGGAAATTGCTCACTTGGTTTTGAACCTTGTGCAACTTTCAGCGTTGGGAGTATATTTGGAATTTAGACCATCTATGCGATACCTGATTTCATCTAATAAGAGCAGGCACTCCTCATTATACAGATGGAATCTATCGCTTTCTCTCTTCTCGCCATAAATTCTTCCCTTTGTCTTTTTTCCTTGGCTTTTTGCCTTAATATATTAATCTCTTCTTACCGCCTCTACTCTCTTCTATCTTGCTATAAATTCTTTTCTTTCCTTCTTTCGCCACTGTACTGTGGATAGCGTTTGTATAGTATGCAGCTCAGTGCTAGCCAGATCTGTCAAGGAATATTCCATTTATAATATTCCTTGAAAGTGTTTTTGAAGGGCCATTCACTTACGGTAACTTTTCAGATGAAATATTAGCCAAAACTATATTTTGTCCTGAAGAAAACTCCAACCCAACTGGTACTTTGATATTTAACGCCTTAACTTTTTCGATTTCCTATATGGTTATATATTATATCTGATAAAGTTATATATAGTTAAAGTTTCATGTATGTATGTAGATCTATCTGACACCCACGAAAAGTTATTTAAAATACATCATCATATTTTAGTTATACTCATTTAATTCTTAATTTTCAATAGTTTTGCTATACATTTCGATATATATTTGTATTTTCTTTTCCCCCGAGAGAACTTTCTCTACCAAAATTTCATTTGGTCACTGGTTACCATTCATAGTCCTCAAAGATATCACAATCTTCATCATAGTCATCGCTATCCGGACATGTGATGGAGTTTTCCTTCAACTTTGCTTCTTTTTTGGAATTGTCGAGTTTTAGGGCTTTCTCGAGACGAAACTTTTGCTGTTGATAGAACTTTGAGCAGCTGCTGTCCCGCTCCTGATCGGCTATAAGGAAATCAAGATCATCTAAACGGTCGTGGATTTTTTGTTCTAAGTCTAGGCGTTGTATATTGTAGCTCTCAAAAAGGATTCGTATGGCAATCTTATCGTTCAGTCGCTCCTTTCCGCCTTGACTGATTTCACGGATTTTTGCAATCCACCGGGAAAACTCAATGTTACCATCGGATTTACCCTCACAGGAACTCAGTATATTCCGTAGTTTATTCGTTGCGTCTGCATCCAGTTTGGTAATAAGATCCTGGGTAGTAGTTTTAACATTGGTTGAAGGTGTAGTATTAGACGACCCATTGTCTGCAAGTCCTCTAGAACTAAATGTTCCCAAAATCAAAAGACTCCAAAGCCAAATCATCGTGAAATGTTAGAAAGTTTGAAAATTTCTAGACTGATATTGCTAGAACCCGTGGAAACTGCTTTTATACAGGTCTGCAGGTCCGATTCACTGGGCCACGATTATATGTAGGTATTTCTTAATTTAGATAAACCTTAATGGAAATTTTGTTTTTTAATTGTTAATTGGTTTTGTTGCATGTATCAGTCTTTACTTTTAATGTTTATTTTGACATATTGTTGGGCGTTATTCGCCGTTATCATAAGGCCGTAAATTACGTTTCTTTGTATAAATTGTAAGATATTTATTAGGTGGTAATGACATTTAAAGTATAATTCATACATTCAAATTTGTCAGCGTAAATAGACATATGTACATAGAGTCTGACAACATAGGGTTGGTTCTAATCGGGGTACAAATTTAACAATGATATTAACACATCGCCCATTATATTTTGTTGTCTATATTGTTGGGCTAGGTACATATGTACCTTTCGGTCGGTACATAGAGAGTTCTAAAGCAAAACTTATTTTCCAAACCGTCTTATTTGTGGGCTGTTTTTCACTTTCACTTGATTTTCCCGCATATTTTTGTTGTATATGTTTTTTCCAAAATATTCCTTTACCCAAGTAGATTAAAGTGACGCAATCTTGCACAAAACATAAAATAATAAAATTGTATTTTAAATAAGCAAATATGCAACGGAACAAAGTTCAACTTTGACATATTACTGTGAAGCTTCTACACATCGTAGATCCGTGCAATTGTGCAGACTTCATTCGGAAAGACTTTTCTTTTAAATGCAGTTTTTTAAATGAAGATATCTTTATTCGTTCAGAAGTTATCGAACGGCCGCTTCAATATCTATTTTCCAGAGCTTCCTATTGGGTCTGTAGTTTGCATCTCTATCGCTTAACCGTTTCATTTGCCGCACTTAACCGTTTCAACAGTTTTTTATCAATGCCATCCTCAAGTTGTGGAACCCAATACGAGCACAATCAGCTGCTTGGCTCCGCTCTGCTTCGTACAGAGAAAACCAGGTAAAAGAGAGACAGAGAGAGAGAGAGAGAGAGAGAGAGAGAGCGGGTGCAAGTGCACGATCCACAAGAAGTAACGACGTCCAATGTATAATAATCATAAAGGTGCGGATAACTCAGCGAGCGATCTCATGTATTGAGTGAGCCCCTTAGAGCCCTTGGTTAAACGGCATATAGAAGAAAAAAGAATAATAAGGCTCCAACTTTTAGAGGGAAATACTCGAACGCCTCTGAAATAAACAAGGAAAGAGGTCCCTCGCTGAGTTTTCTCTTCCTTCCATACTGTCACCTCACCACACCTGCCATACCAACATACCATGCCATTGACGTCTTGTGGTGTCTGCTGCGGGGTCTCTTGTCTTTCAGTTTTTCCCCGATTCAGAGCCCGTGTCGCGCCGCCTACCACATCAGTTCTTGAACGACAGCTGGCCGTGTTGGTAGCATTTCGCGGAAGGTGTTTGAGCCGTGCACGACGTGAACGTGTTTCGAAACGAACGAAAGTCGAGAGGCAGCACCAGCACCATAACGACGCGACTCTCTGTTTAGTGTTTTGTTCGGACATTCATTCGGTGAAATATACAACAAAATGTGGAATATATTACACAAAAGATAAAAGATAACCACAGCAAGAAAGCAAAGTGAAATTGAATTTTGAATGCGATTTGTAAAATTAATTGGCAAAAGGCAATAAATAGTATACCCACAAAATAAAGAAATCTTAAAGAAACCAACAAAAAAAGGTGAAAGAAAAGAAAAAACAAATAAATATGCAATTGATATTATAAGAAAGAGTGTAATTGAATTGGTGTAGAAATTTAAAAAAAAATCCCAAACACAATTAAAACCAACACGAAACGAAAGGGCGTAAAATCTCTAGAAGGTTTGTAATTTATTGAAATTTTTTGTACAACCAGCTGGGAAAACGTGTATCGAATTGAATTTCTTGTAAAAATAAAACTTTGAGGAAGCCAAAAGTTTATCAGCTGCCAAAAGATCAACAAGAATAAGAACTACTCGTGGAATAACATTTTCCTAGTCTATTGTTTTTCCCTCTATCAGGGGGTGGGAGGGTGAGGCCAGGTTTCCAGTCTTACAGAGCGCAAAAAATAATAAATTCAACAGACATTCGAGGGAGAAGAAAAAAAAAACTGTTAAAACCAGTTTGCAGCCAAAGCGGCGCATGCGCCAAGGCAGGAAAAGGTAAAAAAAAAATAATAAAAAAAATAAAACAAAACCCAAACAGAGAGAGAGAAGAGGAAAAGAAAAGAAACGTTGACTAGGGCCGAGGCGAATCTTTGAGCAAACTGTGAAGTGAAGTAAAGTGAAGCCGGGAACGGGAACAGAAGCTGCACCACTGCCTCTACTCGGACCTCTCGGAGGAACGACAGGCAATGCCAATGCACACACGCACCGAAAAAAGATCGTAAAGAAGATTTCGAGAAAACCAAGCAATTTCAATCCAAAAGGGGGCTCCCAAAAGAAAATCTCACACACAGATATCACAGAATCGCCACAAGTAGAGGGAATTGCAAGTGTTGAAGTATAGAGAGAATTCTAGGATACATTTCGGTTGCATGACAGTCTCCCTCCTCTCACATCTCTCCTCTTTGGGGCCATTGCATAATAAGTATAATGTTTTGGGGGCCACATTCGGGGTTGCAGTCTCTAATAATAATAATTTGGTGTCTTTGATCTTTGACATGTCTAGAGCTTGAGTCTGAATGGGAAATCTATGGGCACGGGTAGGGGTATGGGTATGGGTATATGGGTATCCATGGCATTAGGTATTTCTTTAGTCCCTGGTATAATGACCGTTTTGTTTGGATCGCTTTTTTGTGGGATTGGCTTTAATGAAAGTTGCTCCGATCGGACCGCTCGCTTGGCTTATGACTGGAGAGGCATGACCCTGGGCAACAACACAATGCCGTGCCACCGCCACCGCCACAGCCACCGCCACAATATCCAGGAATTGTGAAGAGAGCGGCTGACGGTGGAGGAGGTCGGCCTCTCGGCCTCTCGGGCCTCGGGTCTCTTGGTCTCTCGGTCTCTTTGTGGTTTATTTAGTTTTTGTTGTAGTCGCTTGTCTCTGTGTCTATAGCCATCTCTTTTATGCACACTCAAGCGTAATTCTATACAGAGAGAAAAAGGAAACGCAAAAATTTGCATGCAACACAGAGAGGAATTAAACGAAACAAGAAATGTACACTAAATGCATGAATGAATGAATTACCAAAAAAAGACAAGAAAGAATCCCAGTGGAACAACCCGAAAAAAACACCCAAGAAAAAAGTACCGACAAAGCGGGAAAGAAAGAGATCCCAAAGACAGCGGTAGAGAGAGATCCCAAAGGGAATTCAAGAGTTGGCGGGAGAGAGAGAGCCCAAGATCCCTTGAGGGAATTTTTGCAAATTCGATTTTCGGCTCCCTCCATCCAGCAGGTGTTCTTTCGTTATGTACGAGTATTATAATTTTTTTTTGCCATTTCGTTTTGCTGCGCTTATCTTCGCTTATCTTTCTTCTCTCTGTATCTTTTCTTGTACTCCCTTTGTCGACACATCCCAAAGATTCTGTTCTCCAAAAAAGTTTTGACATCACAAGATCTCCTGCTCACAGCTGATGGATGAATGCGTTTTCGGGGCTGCAACCGTGCCGCTGTGCAAATATCACGCTGATACCGTTTCTTTTTTCGGGCTTCGCGGGACCTTGAAAGTGTACGTACGTACGGGTATGTGTACGTACGTACATACTATGTGCACAAGTGCTGCAGGGTTATCTGGAATTTATGGGGTTTTTGGCCTATAATTCGAACACGTAATGGAAAACCTCAGGCATTGTTCTTAAATTAGTGACCTGTGGCTGTACTTTTAATCGAAATTTATCGATAGGACGATCGATAATGATCAAACGAAACTTAGTAAATCGCATTTATGATGGTCTTTAGAGTATAAGGAGATCTTAATCTATCGTTAAGAGAATATATTATTGGTGGGACATAAGAGTGTCTCAAAGCCAAACAAAAAGATAGGAGACACTCAAGATATTTCTCTACTAAAAATAGATGTATTTAATAAGGACATTTAAGCACCTCCCAGCTGTAAAAATACAAAACCCAAAGCCACTCCTTAACAAAATCTTTAATTGAAGGTTTTGTAATATGTCTATATTTTTGTCCTTCCCGAAACTCAAGCAAATACCACCCCGCATCGATGGTAACCGGTAATTAACTGTCATTGCGTTGGCTCATCGCCTAATTAATCATTTTCTGGCCAAATGCCAATTGGATTTTGATAGCATTATGCATAAACCCTTTTTGTTTAGTGTTTTTTTTTCATATCAAAAGTAGTGTTTATTTGACTTTTTGCTTTGTTTTCGGTGTGGTTGTGTTACCTATTTTTTTGGCGAGGTTAAACTTTGACCTAGTTATATCGTACGATTTGAATCCCCAGAAAAAATCCAGCAAACGTTTGCTAATCCATCAAAAAATATATGTTGCCAATGTGTCGAGGGCATACAATTAAATATTAGGTAAATATTTGCATATCCCCTCACCAGACAGCTAACAAAAAGCAAAAGTAATTTGCCAGAACTTGCCCCCAAAAATAGAAAAAATTGCGAGACACTCGCAAGCCTACACAGAGTCGAATGTGGCTCCATCAAGAGATCATTAAACGAAAGACTTAATTTCTGTTTATTTTCGGTTGGAATAAAAGTAAAAATAGTGCTCTGGAGAGGCTTGAACTTGAGCACTTGAACAGCATTTGAGCAGCACTTGATGAGAGCTGTCATCGAAGCAGCTCTCGTTAGTTCCATGTGTGGGCGTGTCTGTGTGATAATTAGAGATGGGTGCCGATTATCGATAAGTATCGAAGGGGTGGGAAACACAACAAGCTTTAACAATCCGAACCATGTCTGGGTGGGCATATCGGTAATTATCGATAATTATAAAGTGAGAGATCTTTTAATTGAAGGAATAAAATATATATAGTGATGAATGGCCTCTTCTCAATACATATCTTTCAATTAAGGTTCAAAAACTGATTCTATTTCAACAATTCCACATCATTAATCATATTAAAATAATCCAAATACCAATGCTACCCCCCTGCCTGCCACGGGCTCCATCAACACGGCCTCTCAGCACGCACTTGACAGCTCATTAAACCAAATTGGGCAAATACCATTCACATGGGTGTTATAGACACATGTATCTATCGTATGTACATGTATAAGAAAAACATAATTGCGGAAGCAAGTAACCAAACCAATTTCTAAGTTAATACAAAATTTCATGCCAAGATAGAGCAGAGCCAGGGCCAGCCGCGGCGACTACTGTGCAACAATTAGCCATTAAAAATGTTTTGATTTCATTTGTTCGAAACACCACTTAATAGATCATTCATTCATTCAGTATAAAATTGAAACAGAAAACAGAAATACAGAGAAACACGAGAAATAGTGGGCTTAGATAGAGGTCGTTTTATAAGAATACAAAAGCCAAAGTCAAGGTAAAGTCTCGGGTAAAAACTGTAACAATCTTCTGAAGAATGGGGCGAAATACCAGCGGGTATGGCATAGAATCTGTGCACTGTGCTTATGGAATACCCTATAATTGGGTCACATTTCCACACTCCGTTATGATTCCCATTTTTGAAATTATGTCACTCCACTGGGCCACACTTCACTGAAGAAAATATGTTGCAAACGGAAAACGTTGCTGCCATAATCACAAAATAATAACCCTCTGTCCAAAAAAAAAAAATAGAGTCTGTCTGCAATCCACGAAACCTACCAAAAATAGCGGATACTAGCGGGGCTTTCTGTTGCTGTCTGTTTCTGCCGAGGGTTTTCTTCCAACGCCAACAGATAGAGACGGAGATAAAGCGCCATCATAAACGCCATTTAATTGTCCGACAAAAAAGAAGGGGGGAAGGAGACTCGCGATAAGCCCGGCCACGGATTGGACAATACAATTGTCTTCTGACCTGGTTTCCATCCATCCATCCAACCCATGGGCCGTGGACGTCGTGGTCGCTGTTGTCTTTCGTCGGGAGTTATGTAAATGAGTGCACTCGTGAGTGCACTCACTCGAAATTAACCTACAGACCACAGAGCGCACCAGATCACATTGTGGTAAGTTCACATTTTGTGGCACCACCAGATAGTATATGGAAAATATATGAAAGATAAGATTGTATTCGACTTTTCTTCGAGGGTACTCTATTTATTGGAATCTATCAGTGAAAACTCTTAAGAGGCTCTATAATTTACTACCAATAAAATAATTTAAATTTGTTAATTTTTTAAAAATTAAGTATGAAAGCTTGAAAATTGTGAATATCTATATAACAAACAAACTATATAACAATATATAATAAACAAAGGATTTAATCCTTAAAATTTCTGAATTTGATCACCATTTCCTCCTCTGTAAAGTCAAAGACAACTTTTCCTCATTGATCTTTTATAAGACGCCTGCATTTGGAGCAATTTTATGGCTCTTCTTTTTCTCCTTCCAATCGTATTGTTTTGTTTGTTTTTTCAAAATTGTTTTTAAACAACAAATTGTTGGTTTTTCAAGCTGTGTTTTGTTTCAATCAATTGGTTTTTTGGGCTGCTTTACATGCCGTACGCACAAATGGGTCATCGAGGCACGATTTTTGGTGTGTGTTTTGGTGGTTCTTAAGCGACCAATGTCGTGCCATGAAATAAATGTACGGGGATGTGTACCAAAAATGCGAGTAAAAGACGGGGCACACACATAAAAAACTCATTTCAAAAGCCTCTTTAAAATCGTGCTGCAATGCTACAAATACGATGCGATGCGATACATTTGGTTAAATAAAGACAAAATGCATGATGGCCAATGCCAAAAGCGGAACC